TTTCTTGTCGGGACGACTGACCATTAGGATCTGGTCCCCCAAAGCCTTGAGCGCCTTCTGGGAATTCGGCAGTGCTTCTTCGATGTCTTCCAAGAGAATTCCCCCCAACCCTCCCTGGTCATGCTGATCCAAGAGGCGAAGGAGGGCCTTCTTGTTTCCCAACGTGTACTTGGGCTTGAAGGCGTACTTCCCGTCCACAACTTCAATTTTGGGGTTGTTTGCCAGTGCCTCAGTCTTGAGCCACTGTTTCTGCTCGAGTGGGATGTCTAGCTGCCGGGTTTCATCCAAAATCTCTTCCAAGGTCAGAGGGTGCGAGTCTCCTCGCTGATGCCGAGTCTTCATGTAATTCACGATCTTCCCCAGCAGAGGCAACTTAGAGGCTCCCGAGCTCCCAAGGACAGCTCTGGACTTCCACGCGCCATCACTAGGACCACACCCTGCTTTGGGTCCCGATGGCCCTCCGTGGTCCAGCTTGGCTTTCTTCTTCTTGGATGAGGATGAGGAATCCGAAGGCAACGGGCGTTTTACTGCCGCAGGAGTGAAAAGAGTCCTTCTCTGACTCTGCTGCGCAAGTTTTGGCAAACTTGGATCCATAATCCGGGAGATGGAGGGCGGGGGGAGGACGGCTGCGACAAGACTCGCCCCCCGCTGTGGCGGGTGCCTCGGCCAGTGGCCGCCTCGTGTTCCTCCTCAGGCCTCCAGGAGTGGCCCCGGCTCACGCCCAGGCCCGAGCTCTGGTCGGGGTCTCAGCGCCCCACGCGCCGCGCCGACCCCGCAGTCAGGGTGTCCGCACGCCCTGGCCCAAGACAGGCGCAGACCCGCAGTCACGCAGTCACGGTGACCCCGCGAGTCAGAACACGCCAGGTGCCCACAGGCGGTCACGGCGTCCCCGCGAGTCAGAACACGCCAGGCGCTGACCTCCACTCACGGTCTCAGGTCTCACCACTGAAAACAGCCTCGGAGAGCTGCAGCCCGGTCGGTGGGTGCTGCTGCCAGGTCGAAGCCTCGAACCACACTGAGCCCACCGCCTCCTGCTCTCGCTTTTATCCCAGAGCCTCGCCCCGCCCAGAACCCAAGCCAAAGCGCGCCCTTCCCCGCGAGATGCCCCAGCCTCCTGCAGTGGGGAAGGGAGCAGCCAGGGCCACCCGCGGCTCCAGCACCACCACCAAAGGGCCAAGGCCCAGGCCCAGCACACAGCCCGCCTCCAGTGTGAGTGCGAGGTGCTCACCACGAAGGCCGGCCACAGGCAGTTGGGGAGCACTTCCTCCCTCCCGCAGGTTTTGGCATGCCAACCCATGAGACCACCCTTCAACCTGGACCTGGTGGCTTGACTTCAAGGCTACCTTCACATCAGAGAACTTTCTTCCCGCTCTCTTTGGTGCCAAGGAGCGGCACAGCTAAGCAAACCCTGAGGAGGAGCCCAGCTTCTGAACCCCCAACCCATCCCTTTCTGCCCCTGAACTTGTGTAAGGATTTGGGGTTCAAAAGCAATGTAAAATGAATGGTACAAATAGCCGGGGGCTGGTGGCTCACACCTGGAATCCTAGCCTCTTGGGAGGCTGGGATCTGAGGATCCACATTGGAAGCCAAGCCCAGACAGGAAAGCCCAGGAGATGCTTATCTCCAATAAACCAGTCAGAAAGATCCAGGAGTGGGGCTGTGTCCCTGGCTGGGCTCATTCACAGGATACTCCCTGTCCCTTCCCCCTCCCCCCCCCCCCTCCACACACACCTTAAAAAGAAAAAAGAAGGTATCTGCTCAGGTAATCCAGAATAAAGTGTCATGTTCTGGTCTTCTACTTTAATCTCAGAAAATACCATTAGCACAAGTTGCAGAGGTTAGGAAATGAGCATCCCTGAAGAGCTACTTACTATTCCACCTACCACCCTAATGAACCAAAGTTTCTGAAAATCAGTAGGATGGAGAAGTGGTCTGGATATGGAAGGGACACACAACCTGTACAAGCCTGCCTGCTGGGGGCCAATGGGAAGATAGGAGGAACTGAGTTGCTGGTCCTCATGGATAGTGTCTCTTAGCACGTATCACATACATGAGTCCACCCTTCTATAAGCTGCTGAGGTTTGGGAGCTATGTGTGAGCAGGTGGTTACCTTTGAGTAGGTTTTCCTAGTAGGAAAAATTAATGACTTCCAGGTGGGTATTTTATTCCTCCATTCCTCCCGATCGCCTCTCAATCAATGTAGAAAGAAGTCAGGTCTTCAGCAATGCCACCAGAGTCTCCTGCTCTGGGGTGTGTTGTAGAGAATGGGACCCCATTTAGTGTCTGGGCTGATTCATACCTGAAATCCAGGTAACTGCAGTAACTTGGGCACAGTGGCTTCTGGCTTGAGGGTTGATAATCAGGCCTGATATACCAAACACACCTGTTGGGTCAGCTACACCTTATGGACATTGTCTGTCCTGGCACAAACCCAAAATTGGTCAGCCGTGTGACTGCCTGGATGTTTGTTGGGCTTCAGAATGCAGTGAATTCAGAAAAGAGATAAAAAAAAACTTTCCAAGAGAAATCTGCAGAAAAATTCTGAAACTGGCTTCTGAAATTCAATTCAAAACTCAAGGATGCAAAAACTGCCTGGAGGCTCTAGCTCACAAACTGTAATCCAATCTATTTAGAAGGAGGAGGTCTCCAGATCCTCACTGGAGGCCAGACTGGGTGGAGAAAGTCTGGCAGATTCTAATCTCCAAGTAACCAGCAAAGAGTATGAAGTGGAGCTGTAGCTTCAGGGTTAGGAAATATTGAATAAACCTAGTTCAAAGATGTATTGACAGAAAAACAGGACAAAACAAAACAAAAAAACCCAAATAATTCCATACATTGGTTAAAGCTCTGAGAAAAACGGAAGTACAAGAGATAACAAGCTAGTTCAGCTTTATTCATATTCGGTAAATGGACAATAAAGGGAAAGGCATTGCTAAATATACAAGTGTTCTTTTTTTTTTTTTTTTTTGGGTCCGGTTGTGGGCCTGAACTCTGGGCCTGGGCGCTGTCCCTCAGCTCTTCAGCTCAAGGCTAGCGGTCTACCACTTGAGCCACAGCGCCACTTCCGGCTTTTTTCTTTTTGCTTATGTGGTGCTGAGGAATCGAACCCAGGGCCTCGAGCATGCAAGGCAAGCGCTCTACCACTGAGCCACCTTCCCAGCCCAATATACAAGTGTTCTTAAGAATGTGTAGCCCCTCCTTGGAAGTGGCCTGAGTGAGCCCACAGCCTGTGGACAGCACACTAGGTCACTGATAAATGGAAGTTATATGTGCACTCCAAGTTGTTTGAAGAACCATTGTTTTAGTCAGTTTCTTTGAGGGTCTGGGATGAAGGGATGAAGGTAACACAGAAAACAGAATGGAGAGTGCCCCCAAGGACATGTCATACAGAAGAGAAGGGTGGACTCATGTATGTGATACATGCTAAGAGACACTATCCATGAGGACCAGCAACTCAGTTCCTCCTATCTTCCCATTGGCCCCCAGCAGGCAGGCTTGTACAGGTTGTGTGTCCCTTCCATATCCAGACCACTTCTCCATCCTACTGATTTTCAGAAACTTTGGTTCATTAGGGTGGTAGGTGGAATAGTAAGTAGCTCTTCAGGGATGCTCATTTCCTAACCTCTGCAACTTGTGCTAATGGTATTTTCTGAGATTAAAGTAGAAGACCAGAACATGACACTTTATTCTGGATTACCTGAGCAGACACCTTCTTTTTTCTTTTTAAGGTGTGTGTGGAGGGGGGGGAAGGGGGAAGGGACAGGGAGTATCCTGTGAATGAGCCCAGCCAGGGACACAGCCCCACTCCTGGATCTTTCTGACTGGTTTATTGGAGATAAGCATCTCCTGGGCTTTCCTGTCTGGGCTTGGCTTCCAATGTGGATCCTCAGATCCCAGCCTCCCAAGAGGCTAGGATTCCAGGTGTGAGCCACCAGCCCCCGGCTATTTGTACCATTCATTTTACATTGCTTTTGAACCCCAAATCCTTACACAAGTTCAGGGGCAGAAAGGGATGGGTTGGGGGTTCAGAAGCTGGGCTCCTCCTCAGGGTTTGCTTAGCTGTGCCGCTCCTTGGCACCAAAGAGAGCGGGAAGAAAGTTCTCTGATGTGAAGGTAGCCTTGAAGTCAAGCCACCAGGTCCAGGTTGAAGGGTGGTCTCATGGGTTGGCATGCCAAAACCTGCGGGAGGGAGGAAGTGCTCCCCAACTGCCTGTGGCCGGCCTTCGTGGTGAGCACCTCGCACTCACACTGGAGGCGGGCTGTGTGCTGGGCCTGGGCCTTGGCCCTTTGGTGGTGGTGCTGGAGCCGCGGGTGGCCCTGGCTGCTCCCTTCCCCACTGCAGGAGGCTGGGGCATCTCGCGGGGAAGGGCGCGCTTTGGCTTGGGTTCTGGGCGGGGCGAGGCTCTGGGATAAAAGCGAGAGCAGGAGGCGGTGGGCTCAGTGTGGTTCGAGGCTTCGACCTGGCAGCAGCACCCACCGACCGGGCTGCAGCTCTCCGCGGCTGTTTTCAGTGGTGAGACCTGAGACCGTGAGTGGAGGTCAGCACCTGGCGTGTTCTGACTCGCGGGGACGCCGTGACTGCCTGTGGGCACCTGGCGTGTTCTGACTCGCGGGGACGCCGTGACCGCCTGTGGGCACCTGGCGTGTTCTGACTCGCGGGGACGCCGTGACCGCCTGTGGGCACCTGGCGTGTTCTGACTCGCGGGGACGCCGTGACCGCCTGTGGGCACCTGGCGTGTTCTGACTCGCGGGGTCGCCGTGACTGCGTGACTGCGGGTCTGCGCCTGTCTTGGGCCAGGGCGTGCGGACACCCTGACTGCGGGGTCGGCGCGGCGCGTGGGGCGCTGAGACCCCGACCAGAGCTCGGGCCTGGGCGTGAGCCGGGGCCACTCCTGGAGGCCTGAGGAGGAACACGAGGCGGCCACTGGCCGAGGCACCCGCCACAGCGGGGGGCGAGTCTTGTCGCAGCCGTCCTCCCCCCGCCCTCCATCTCCCGGATTATGGATCCAAGTTTGCCAAAACTTGCGCAGCAGAGTCAGAGAAGGACTCTTTTCACTCCTGCGGCAGTAAAACGCCCGTTGCCTTCGGATTCCTCATCCTCATCCAAGAAGAAGAAAGCCAAGCTGGACCACGGAGGGCCATCGGGACCCAAAGCAGGGTGTGGTCCTAGTGATGGCGCGTGGAAGTCCAGAGCTGTCCTTGGGAGCTCGGGAGCCTCTAAGTTGCCTCTGCTGGGGAAGATCGTGAATTACATGAAGACTCGGCATCAGCGAGGAGACTCGCACCCTCTGACCTTGGAAGAGATTTTGGATGAAACCCGGCAGCTAGACATCCCACTCGAGCAGAAACAGTGGCTCAAGACTGAGGCACTGGCAAACAACCCCAAAATTGAAGTTGTGGACGGGAAGTACGCCTTCAAGCCCAAGTACACGTTGGGAAACAAGAAGGCCCTCCTTCGCCTCTTGGATCAGCATGACCAGGGAGGGTTGGGGGGAATTCTCTTGGAAGACATCGAAGAAGCACTGCCGAATTCCCAGAAGGCGCTCAAGGCTTTGGGGGACCAGATCCTAATGGTCAGTCGTCCCGACAAGAAAAAAATCGTTTTCTTCAACGATAAGAGCTGTCAGTTTTCCGTGGATGAAGACATCCAGAATCTGTGGAGGAGTGTCCCTGTGGCCTCAGTGGATGAGGAGAAAATCGAAGACTATCTGAAGCAGCACGGTTTTTCTTCCATGCTGCGCTGTGCACCAAGAAAAATGCCCTCTGTCCGGAGACTCAAAAAACCCACTTCACAGAAAGTGCGGCATGTGAAGATTCACAATGTACACTTGGCCGGAGTGCTGAAGGATTATTCTCACATTCCCTTCTGCTAATGGGGGACACCTGGTCATTGAACAAAGAATTACAGACACAGTCAACATCTCTTTGGTTTGCCGGGCAACTGGTGGTTCTTCCTGGAACCCTGGCTCCTCAGGAGGCTGAGATCTGAGGATCCTGGTTCCAAGCCATCCTGGGCAGGAAATTCCGTGGAACTCCTCTCTCCAGTCAACCACCAGAAAACCACAAGTGGAGCTGGGGCTTAAAGCGGTACAGCACTAACCCTGAGGGAAATTGCTCAGGGACAGTGCCCAGGCCCTGATTCAAGCCTCTAGACCCACAACAATAAACCATCAAACAGATTTTTAAAAAAAACTCACAGAAAAAGAAAAAGCACATACAAATAACCGGAAAAAAATAAACGATACCTGAAGAACCAACCAACCAACAACAACAAAACCACTGCTTATTTGATGCCCAGGATCTGAAGAATGGTCTTCAGTCTTCCCTTATACTACTTAGCACTGGAGGGTCCTCAACCACAAAGCTTCTTTTTTTTTTTTTTTTTTTTTTGGTCGGTCGTGGGGCTTGAACTCTGGGCCTGGGCGCTGTCCCTCAGCTCTTCAGCCCAAGGCCAACGCTTTACCACTTGAGCTGTAGCACCACTTCCGGTTTTCTGGCGGTTTATTGGAGACAGGAGTCTCACGGTCTCTCCTGCCGGGGCTGGCTTTGAACCGCGATCCTTAGATCTCAGCCTCCTGAGTAGCTAGGATTACAGGCGTGAGCCACCAGCGCCCGGCTCCCCAAAGCTTTCTTTTAACTGAAAATTTACAGCAGTCTTTTTTTTGGGGGGAGGGGTTGGTTTTGGGGCTTGAACTCTGGGCCTGAGAGCTGTTCCTCAGCTCTTCAGTTCAAAGCTAGCCCTCTACCAGTTGAGGTACAGGCCACTTGTTTTATGTAGTCTTGAATGCCACATTTACTTATTCCAAAAGAAGTCTTTATAATAAAGTCATTGTAGCAAACCAAAAAGACTGCCTCTTTTTAGTAGCCAAGTTAAGTTGAGTTCAGCTATGGAAACCACGCGACAGCATGTAGCATGTAGCCTGAATCACACAGGCTCTTCAGTCTCCCTTTTGGAGAGTCATCCATGTTTCATATTACTAATGCCTAGTCAAAGGCAGTCACCTGCTCACAGGTAGCTCCAAAACCTCAGCAGCTTAGAGCAGGGTGAACTCATGTGTATTACATGTCTGTATGGACAGTCTCCATTGTGTGTTCTGTTGCCTTCATCCCTTCATCCCAAAACCTTCACAGAGAAAACCATCACCTGAGTAGAACTATAGTTCTTCACAGTCCTTGGAGTACACACAGAACTTCCTCTCATTTATCAAGCCAGCTGTTCTTGGGCTGTGGACTCAGTCAGGCCTCTTCTAGGGAGGGCCTGCAAGTTCTTAGGAACACTGATGTGGCCCATCACAGTATTTGTGGTGATGTCTTTATCCAATTTTAATAAAGTTGAACTAGCTTGTCATTTCGTCTACTTCCATTTTTCTTTGTGCTTTATTCAATTCTGGCTTATTTGGTGTTTGTTTTGTTTTAGTCAATCCATCTTTGAACTAGGTTTGTTCTATATGGGCTAACTAACCCTTGAGCTACTGCTTCACTTCCAGCTCTTTGCTGATTACTGGCAGGTAAGCATCTCCCAGACTTTCCCCACCCTGTCTGGGCTCCACCCAGGATCCTTAGATCTCAGGCTCTTGAGTAGAAAGGATTACAGGGTGTGAGTCACAGCTGACAGAATTTGCTGCCTTGAGTTTTGAATTGAGTTTTAGAAGTCAGTTTTAGAATTTTTTCTGTAGAATTCTCTGGGAAAGTTTCCCATGTCTTTTCTGGATTCTGAAGTTCAGGCAAACAGCTGTGCAGTTATGGGCTTTGTGCCAGGACAGAGACAATGCCCAATAGGTGTGGCTCACCTAACAGGTGTGGCTGGACAAACAGGTTTGGCTGTCCCCACTGGCTTGACTACCCACCCTCAACCCAGAAGCCACTCTGCCCAAATTCTGGCAGCTGCCTGGATTTGGGGTAGGCATCAGCTCTGAATCCAAAAGGGGCCCTGTTGTCTTCAACAAGTCCCAAAATAGGAGACTTGGGTGGCATTGCTGAAGACCTTATGTTTTTCCTCCATTAATTGAGAGGAGATCTGGGACCTGGATGGGATGAATTGCCCTCCTGGAAGTCATTCATTTTTCCTCTTAGGAATGCCTACTCAAAGGCAGTCACTTGCTCACATGTATCTCCCAAACCTCAGAGGCAGCTTAGAGCAGGGTGGACTCATGTCCTTGATGACACTATCGGTGAGGACCAGTAGCTCTCCTCCCATGTTCCCACTGGCTCCCCAACAGGCAAGCACCAGGCTTGTGGAAGCTAACTCTGGTGTCCTTTCCATATCCAGGTCATTTTCCATCATACTGATTTTTCAGGAACTTTGTTCCATTAGGGTGGTAGGTGGAATAGTAGCTCTTCAGGGAAGCTCATGTCCTAAGCTCTACAACTTGTGCTAATGGTGATTCCTGTGATTAAAGTAGAAGCCTAGAAGATTCCACTGTATTCTGGATTACCTGGACGGATACCTTTCTTTTTTTTATTGTGAAAATACTGTACAGAGGGATTACAATTACATGGGCAAGATAATGAGTACATTTCTTATCAAGCATTGCAGCCTCCTCCTTTGTTTCCCCTTCCCATCCCATCACCTTCCTTTTTTTTTTTTTTAAGGGCTTTGTTTGTGTTTGGTAGGGTGTGGGATTCTGGGTATGAACCCAGGATCTGAGTGATAGACACTGTCCTGAGCCTCTTTGCATTCCAGGGTAGTGCTGTACCACATGAGCCACTGTGCCACTCCTGGCTTTTTTCTGAGCAGTCTATTGGACATAAGAGTCCCTGGGCTTGTCTTCCTGGGCTGAGTTCAAATATCGATCTTGGATTACAGGTTTGAGTCACTGGTGCTTCATTTTGGGGATCAGTATACAAGATGCTGGCTCAGCAGTGGAGAAGACTCAGCTTTAAGTCACAGCCTGCAGCTCTCAGACTCAAGGTGCTAATAACTCCTCAGTGTTAGTTGCCTTGGGGACTGCACAATTTATTCCTTGTTTCTCTTCTTAAATCCATTCCTGAGATTTCTGGATTAGCAGCCATGATAATCAGAAGTTCCTTCTGAAGCCCTGCATTCCTCAGGGAAAGTTCCTCTGCTAACCAGTGAGAAATGGCTGCTTACTGGCACCAAGGCAGAAATTCTTGAATGTGAGGGAGGTGGTAGGGAATGGTAGGGACTGTGATCAATGGATACACCAGCCCTGCATCTCTACATCTTCCCATCAGATTTTTTTTTTTTTGTCAGTAGTGGGGCTTGAACTCTGGTCCTGGGCGCTGTCCCTCAGCTCTTAAGCTCAAGGCTAGTGCTTTACCACTCTAGCCACAGCACCATTTCTGGCTTTTCCTGCTTATGTGGTGCTGAGGAATTGAACCCAGGGCCTCATGCATGCAAGGCAAACACTCTACCACTGAGCTACCCTCTCAGCCCATCCCATCAGATTTTTAAGTGAGGCTTGCTGGTTAAGTGTCAGCCCATATTTTTAGAAATCCTGCTATGAGGCTGGTAAGCCATGAGGTGTCTGAAATCGGTCCAGGCATTACCAGTTTCTGTTTTCTATTCTTAGCACACAAGCCACTTGCCCTACTTGGAATAAAAAAAAAATAGCTTATGGGAAGGGCCATGTGTGCCAGCCATTCAGGAGACTTTGGGTTACCCCATCGGGGCAACACAGAGACCTGGCCATGCCACCTCCTCCCCATAGGCTCAGTGCTGAAGTCCATGAGCTGATATCTGCCTGTTCTTCGCTGGCGCACACAGCCTGGCTGCGTCTGCCCCGTCCATCACGTCTAATATGGGTGTCAGCAGAAAGTAAATTAAATCCACTAGGCTGTAATTTGCCAAGGAAACATTTTGTGGTAGTAACTAAACAGAGCATTATGTTTTAATCAGGTTTTTAAAATGTTGTTTTAAAAATCATTTTATTGTGCAGAAGCTGGTATCCTAAGAGCTATAATTCCTTAACTAACAGTATGCAAATGCAGTACCCTCTAGTCTAGATGTGCTTACCAGCCTGGGCATTTGTCTTGATCCTTTTAAACCTAGATTATTTTCAGAGTAAAAGTGCTGCACTACTCTCAGGCCATTCACATGGGGAACCTCGGCAGAAGCTTCCTTAGAGGGGAGCTGCCTTTTACTGTGGCTTTGAGAAAGAAACAAACTGGTTCATTTTTTCCTGCATGTTATTTATTTGTGTATGTATACTTACGTGCATTTACTTATTGAGCAAGCATCTGGATGCTGATACCTAAGCATTCTGCAAACATCTACTGATTATTCCTAGACCTCCCGCTGCCCTCAAGGAAAATTCTGTTTTTACCTCTCATTTTACTGAGGAACAAGTTAAGGCCCAGAGAGGTAAAGTAATTTGCTAGACGTCACATAGCTGGTAACTGATGAATATGGGAGTCTAGCTCCTGAGTCTGTACTCTTAGCTACTTTGTTCTGTTCTTGCTGTTTCCTCTGTTTGTAGCTCGGTCCTGTAGCCCCTTTGTAGTCATCTTTCTGTGTTTTCTTCTGCCTCTCCTCTCTTACCCCCACCCCTCAGATATTCATTTATTCCTGTGTTTTATGACCATCAAGGGTCCTAAACTAAATACTGGGAGACTTATTTTCTCCTCTATTGAACTCTTTGGAGGTGGGCTTTTGTTAAGTAGATCTCAGAGTCTCGGGAGAGAAACAGCCACCATCCCCTGGTGGACCTCATAAAATTGACCATGAGCCCTCAGTAGGGGCCTGTCCCAGTCTGGAGGAAGGGCCAGGAGGCTTTTCAAAAGGTAGCTTAGATTTAAAAGATGGGTAGGTACAGGAGGATGCTTTAGGATGGGCATCATTGTGTAAGAAGAGCCTTAGAAGCTTTGTACGGCCTCTGTTTAGTTCATCTGAAACTACATTTCCCAGAATGCT